ATTCCATCCAGGACCCTGGGCCATGGATTGGTATTGGCCACATTCATAGTGAGTCCTTGCTCTTTAGTTACACTTTTCTCAGAATGCTGCAACAGACATACCCAGAAGTATTCCCGCAGCAATTCTAAATCTAGTCTAGTTGACAACTATTAACCATCATAGGTGAAACCTCATTATAAAACTTAGCCTAGCTTTGGGGCTGGAGCAATGGCTCAGCTGTTAAGAGCACTAGATGTTCTTCCTGAGGACCTGGGTTCAATTCCCAGCACCCACATGGCAGCTCACAAATGTCTGTAACTCCAGTTCCAAGGGATCCAACACCCTCACACCAACACACATAAAGTTAAATTAAAAAAGAAAACAGCCTAGCTTCCAAGTTGTGATTCTCCTGTCTTATCCTCGCAAGCTCCTAGCATTACACGTGTGTGCCACGATGCCAGGTTTTAGTATTTTTATTATTTGAACCCATACCAGGAAGCCAGTGAGCCAGAGATCCTATTTAGCAATATAATATTTTAAGAATTTTTTATTTTATTTTGTGTGTATGACTCATTTGCTTTATATACCAGCTGCATGTCTGGTGCCTCTGGATGTCTGAAGAAGGTGTTGTATCCCCTGTGAGCACCCCATGTGGGTGCAAGGAACTGAACCTGGGTACTCTGCAAGAGGAACAAGTGTGGCCAGGCATTGGTGCCGCATGCCTTTAATCTTAATCAGGAGGCAGAGGCAGGTGGATCTCTGTGAGTTCAAGGCAGCCTGGTATACAGAGTAAGTGCTAGGATAGGCTCCAAAGCTACACAGAGAAACCCTGTCTTGAAAAGCAACAAGTGCTTTTAACTGCTGAGCTATCTCTCCAGTCCCCATAGAGATTTTTAAAGTCACCTATGCTTCTAGGAATCTCTCTCTCTCTCTCTCTCTCTCTCTCTCTCTCTCTCTCTCTCTCTCTCTCTCTCCCTCTCCACCATTCAGCTATTTAAAGTGAATGAAAAGCTGGGCACTGTGGTGCAGTCTTAGCACTTTGGAGGTGAGACAGAAGGATCCTGAACCCAAGGCTACCTGCCATACATAGTGATATACTGTCTTAAGTAAATGCATAGTAAATGACAAAACAAATGATGAAGATGCATATTTTTGGTAATGGAAAATTAAATTTGTAAAAAGTGTAAATAGAAGTTCCCCATGTATAAATATAAACACAAAACACGTGTACAGTGAATGTTAGCAGTAGTTATCTTTGCCTTATTAATTTATATCATATATGAAGGCAGATATTTCTTATCAGAAAAATAATTTTCCTCCTCCTCCTTTTCCTCCTCCTCATTCTTCTCCTTCTTCTTTTGATGTGCATTGTTTTTTTGTTTTTTTGTCATGGTTGTCAAGTCCCCTGGAACTGGAGTTATCGACTGTTCTGAGAGGCCATGTGGTTGCGAGTAATTGAACCTGGGACCTTTAGAAGAGCAATCAATGCTCTTAACTTCTGAGCCATCTCTCCAGCCCCAGAAAAATATTTTCTAAAAGAAATTAATGTGTGTTCCTGTGTACCCATGCACCTGCACATATAGAGATTAAAAGCTTCCCAGGAGTTCCCTTTATTACCTTCTGCCCTGTTCAATTAGCCATTTCTCTGTGGAAGAGCTGGGGTTACAAGTAGAGGTGTGTGTGTGTGTGTGTACCTGCGTACCTGTGTTCCAAGAGCTTAGCTTCAGAGCTCATGCATTCATCTACTGAGCTATCTCCCTGCCCCAGCAAGATTAATTGAAATTAAACATGATTTAAATAAATATTTATAGAATTTTAAAGAAAAGGGCAAGGGAGGGGCTATGATGGGCTAGCAAAGGCTTTTTGATGAAACTGTCTCTTACAGGACTTTGGACTGGGAAAGTTACAGGTAGGAACAACTTTATTTCTGAGAGGGAGAAATTTAGAACAAGTCAGCTTACAGTTGTTGGAAGGTTCTGGAAGCCAGCTTCTGGTCAGGACCTCTGCTTTCCATGGATGGGTTTAAAAGTGCTTTAGGCCCTAACTATCCTCTAATGGGCAGTGCAGTCTGAATGTATTTTTCCAGTTTTGAAGAAGAGCTGGGAAGTTAACTTTGATAAGGAGTCACATTTTACTGATAGATAAAGGTGTAGTTTGAAATTGGAAGCATATTCAGATGGAGATCTGGAATTCTGGGGAGTTGAGCATTTTGCACATTAACTGTTGGGGAAGCACCAACAGAGCATTTGGAAGTGCACTGCGATGGTCAAGCCAGCAGCATCTACTTCATCTGATTATGACTGTTCTGTCTGTATGAGACCCTGTCAAGCTGACCACCATATTAGCCACCATATGGATGAATGGCATTGGAAGAGACCACGACACTGAAATAATGTGATACATGGGGAGAAGAGTAGTCAGAAGAGAAATGAGAGGGCATTCAAAAAGCAGCCTGCAGCACCATGAGGAGCCCTCAGGGTTTTGCACCAGTCTCCACCATGTCTCTGACCTCCAAGAGAATGTGTTGTTCATCTCTTTAAATGAAGAAGAACTAGTCTAATATACTTTGGAGTCACAATCCTCATTTATATAGCTCCTTTCTTTTCTAAAGTAATAATTGGGGTTGTATTTGGAAATGCATCAACACAGAGAAATTGCTATGCCCTGCACATCTTCTTTTGTGAAAGTTGATGGTTAAACACAGAGATTTTGGGGAATGATGATGCCTAGACAAGAGAGCAGGTAAGTCAGCTGTGCCAATGTTCCCAATGTCTTCAGTGCTTCTGTATTTAGTGTGCATATTTAGCCCTCTCTCTTTTCTCTCGGTGCCATGTCCACTTGAGTGGGCACAGAGTCATTAAGGCATTATGAAGTGGTTACATGGGGCAGGGGGTCAGCTCTCACCGTGTCAGGCTGTAGATTCTGGAAACAAGCTTGGCCCCATCACAGGCTCCTCTGACCTGTAAAAAGCCTTATTGGTCTTCCTACTGACTGTCTCATAAGATATGGGAGAAGTGAGGTAATGTCTCCCCAGACCTTTGAGCTTCTCGGAAGAACAGCATTTACAGGAATGTGATATCTTAATACATTTGCTCGTGCTGTAATGGACTGGAATTCTATTTCCCTAAATTTACTTAGGTGCTTCTAGAATATTTGTTGTCTTGACCTTGAGAATCTAGACCTTAGCTAAACGCCTCAGAAGATGTTCTGTTCAGTGAGCCAGCTGTATGCTTACAAGATTGGAGAAGCTGGGAGGGGTGGAGCATGAGAGCCTGACTAGGTGGTAATGGGGGAGGGGGCTTGTAATCATCTTCAGATTTGTATCACACTTTAAGTTTTCTGTTTTATGAAAAATAAGTATCAAAGAAATTGAAACTGAGAGTCTGTTTTAATTTAGCAGTGTCACTTAACTGGGGATGGCTTATGTAAAATCTCTCTGCCGTTTTTCTCTGTGATGGGCTCTATCCAACCTCCTTCAAGGTTTTCTTCACCTTTTATTGATTCATAAAATTGTATATTACAGACGGCATGAAAGTAGAAGGGAAACTATCTGGGGAAACAAAGGGGACTAATGGGAAGGGGAGGGACATGAAAGGGGAGGAGAGTGGATGTGGGGATAAATATACTCAAGGTGCACTCGTCTTATGCAACATAGTAAAATAATGCAAAAATATTTACTGCATCTTGATGCTCAGGCCAAATCCTCATTGTTTAATAATTTGTTTCTGACTCTGATACCACCAGTTCTACACAACTAATAATAAATTGTCAAGTTCATTTGCAAGATACCTGCTAGGTTATTAGGTGTGGTTTAATATTGTTTTTGTCTGCACATGAAGGGATCCTAAGTGTTTGTTGAACAGTTATGACCAGTCCTGCCATTTTGGAGCAATTTCACAATATATGGCTGTCTAGTTAGTGTTAAGCAGGAAGATGAAAATAGGTGATGAAAAGCAAGAGACATAAACACAGATGCCACTGCTACCATACTGTAAAGATACTGTTTGGTAACCATCTATCTTGGTGGAACTTACTGTAATCCCAGCACCTGGAAAGTAGATGCAGGAAGATTAGAGGTTCTCCTCCATCCCCAACAGAGTGAGGCTGAGGCCAGGCTGGGCTGCATGAGGCCCTTTCTCAAAAGAAAGGAAAGAAAACATATAAATTTATAATTTTTTTGTCAGGCAATTTGCTGTGGTGTTTTCTAGAAGCACTTAGTGTTTTAATGTTTCAAAGAAATGTCAGCCTTCAGTAAAAGAATCTAAAATAACTATTGAGTAAACCTCCCAAAACGAAAAACAAACACACAAACAAAAAGTATGTGTTCTTTTCTAGAGAGGTGAATAGACATACTTTTAAAGAAGCAATGGATACAACTTGGAGTTTTAGAGCAATGATGTAAATCATACCCCACTTTCTGAATTAGAAAAATGTTTCATTTGCTTAAAAAAGGACAATATAGAGAGAATATCTTCTACATCCATGATAGAATGTGAGAAAATGAAGCCTTTCCAGATAGCATGTTTGTTTGACTACATGGTATGGGAGGGATTTGAGAAAAAATTACATTGTTTCTGAAGCTAAGAAACACGATTTGTGTGGGGGAGACAATCATAGCACTCTGTGCAACTGATCTTCGCAGCAACATGGCTTCTTACTAAGAAAACAGTGCCTCAGAGATACAGTTCAAAGGAAGTTAATTTTAGGTAGTCATATTTTTTGTGTGTATGTATGTATTGCACGTGTGTATGATATGTGTGTATGTGTATGTACTTGTATGTGCAGATACAGCTCCCTGAATGGATAGAGGCCCCATAGGTAGCCTCAATAAAGGTAAATTATTTTCTTCTTGAACATATTAAACATAATACACAGTTTTTATATAATTTTGTGACAAATTTATTGTTTTCTGTCATTGTGTATGAATATAGACAAGTATACTTCAGAAACATTGAAAATTTTTCCACTTGATGTTAGTTGAAAGCAAGTAAAATTGTGATTTTTCTTTCTGTTGGTTGCAGGATCGAAGTAAACGATTGGAGAAGGTCCATGCAGTTATTGGACCTAAGTCATGTGACTTGGATTCTCTGATTTCTGCCTTCACATATGCATACTTTCTGGACAAGGTGAGGGGAAAGGGAATTACTATAGCCTTTGTACATGAATTTTGTGTCTTTTAAGAAGAAATATAGGGGAAAGGAGCCACCACTAGCTTAGTTTTTCATATTCGGGTCTATTGTTGCAGATAATAAATAAATCCAGTAAGCAACAGGCATTTGTTGAGCACCTCCTGTGGGTTAGACGTTTTTCTGCTCATGTCTTACTGGTTTCTTCTCAAAGCCATTTCAAACAACGTATTTAAACATGTTTGTAGTAGTGGGTTGCTTTTATGATAATTTAGAGGAGTAATAAAAAGCAGAACTCGGGACCTCTGTCTTTCCTTTATCATATACCATGTGATTGTGCCTTTGGCAATAGAGAAACATGCAGAATAACTTATATGAACAGTACATGAAGCACAGAGTACTGGCTGGAGACTCAGAAATGGGCATGGCATGTCCAATCTAGGTTCTGTAAGTCTTAGTTGCTGCCTTTTAGTCCTGATGGTGATGTCCATTGAGGGAGAATCTCCCTTACTCTGGGAAACTCAGACTCACCCACAGAACAGGAAAGGCCCTTATAACAAATCATGTCCAAACTTCCCATCTATAAACCCCATCAGCCCACGATAATGGGCTTTATTGCCTGAAAACCTTCAAATGTATGTTCCAAATGTTTGGGTACTATTTCCAGAAGGTTCACGGAATTTTTAATTTTCCAGAGTCTGGTTTATTTTATTTCAATTTTGTTTGGATCTGGATCCCCTGGTACTATGCATAGCTGATCTGGAGTGATTTAAATTCGCATGAAACCCAGTCTTCCAGAATGAGCTGTGGGTGGCAAGGACCGCTTTAGGGCAGCTGAGGAAAATGATGGGTAAAGTATTCTCATCTCTACATGTGGGCTCTGCATCACATTTATCTTACAAGTTGTTGAAGTTTGCAAGGAAGAGTGATTGGCATGAGAAGATGAATGCATCTGAGTTGAGATGTGTGTATTAAGCAATCCTTGCTATTCTTGGCTGCTCATCCAGAGAACATTTGACTGAACTGGATTGACTCTAAGACCACCAGTGATATGCACTTTACAGAAAGTATATAATAATAACAGCATCACCAACTATAGTTACAGTGTTGTGAATGGGAATGCACCCTGAAAGAAGGAGATAGGGAAATTGTGAGTGATGAAAGATAGATGATCAATAGGTAGACAGATAAATGAAAACAGACTGATAGGCTCCCCCTTCCTTTGGAGATTTTTAACTAAGCATAGAAATAAATGTGGCGTTACAGTTAACTGGGAAGAGGAACCTCTATTGAGAAAATGACTGTCTTCAGATTGCCTGTAACAAGTCTATAGGAGATTTTCCTGTTAAATGGTTGATGTGGGAAGGCCCAGCCCACAGGGCAGAGCAGTGCTGCCTCTGGGGCAGGTGCTCCTGTGCTGTATAAGAAAGCAGGTTGAGCAAGCCTGTGAGCCGCACTCTTTCAGGGCTTCTGCATGAGTTCCTATCCTGAACTCTGGGTGACAGACTACAAGTTGTAAGATGAAATAAACCATTTCCTCCCCTTTATCACAGTAATAGAAAACCTAACTAAGATGCCCTGCCTTTCTTTGTCTTAGTGTGGTAGGTCTTGTCTGCTTTTTGTGGGCTGTGCCTCTATGGAGTTTTCCTAAGAACCGTATCAGTCTCTCGGGGCTCTGTGGCTTTGCATGCATCCTTCACACTCCAGTGAGCAGAACAGAGGCCAAACCTCATTCTACATAAACAGAAAGGGAAGGCCCAGGAAGTAGAATGGCTTTCTCCGATTCATGGAGCAGGGGCTGGGACTGCCATCTAGTTTTCTGGTCCCAGCTCCAGAATAAGTCCTGCTTGGACAGCTTGGGACACACATTCTGACTCATGTATTCTCCTCCACTGCATTTGCAGGAGTTAGACACAACTGTCAATTAGGAGGAGTAACGTGCTGTACATAAATCACTAACAATTATTATGTGACTAGGATTCAGTATTATTAGCATTACAGTAGAAAGTCCACTTTGGTGGAGAAGCTTTTGTGTTTTATGTACAATAGCAGTGTCTGGTTCATTTGTTTAATTCAAGGAATTGCTATTAAATGCCTACTACTGCCTGATTGTTTGATGTGTTAGCAGAACAAAACAATCCTGCCCTTTAATGTTAGAGAAGGGAGACAGATGCTAGGATGTTGAGCCTCATAAAAAGCACATGCTTGTGACAAAGCTGTAGTGACACAAGAATAAAGGCTATTTACTTATTCAGAGATAAAGCATCACCAAACCCACATTCTTCCAGTGGCAGTGAGATCCTTATTGCTATACCCTTAAAGTAATTTTAAAAATACTTTACTTTAAAATTCATATATACAAATAAATTTATTGTGAATCTAAAATTCTCTTCCTCCTCCCCCCATTTGGTTACCACAAATGTTTTATGTAAGAGTTTTATATATATATATATATATATA